TCCCCCCCGCCCCCCCCCCCCCCCCCCCGTACCCTTGGGGATCTCTCTCTCTCCTCCCTCCTCTTCCCTGGAAGCAGGCTGGCTCCTAGCCCGACTCTGCTCGGCCTCTGTGGGTCCTGGGAGCCAGAAGGGAGGGCTCCCTCTGGGACCATGCCGCCTCCTCTAAGCTGCAAAGCGCGTCCCTAAAGTCTCGAGGGTAATTAGACTCCTGGGAATGTCCTAGGGAAATCCCTAATCTGTGAATTGCCCGGGCTGGGGGAAGGGGAGCATAGACTGACCGCGATTGGTCCTCGAGGGCCCCGCCCCTTTCCTGGGCGGGGCCATGGCTGGCTGGGTCTGGGGAGTTACTACTGCTCGGCCCCCGCGCCCTGTGCTCGCTCCGCCCGGGTCTTACCCCGCCATGGTTCGCCTGCCTCTGCAGTGTGTCCTTTGGGGCTGCTTGCTGACCGCCGTGAGTTGACTTTTTGCCCCGACCCGAGGAGGGTTTGGGATTTGAGAGTGGGGAATATTAAGGACAGAGAAGCAAGACTCCGGGGAAGAGCTCTTCCTAGCTGATTTTTGGGGAGACAGGAGGATGGGTGGAAGGTAGGCAAGGTACCTCTTCCCAGGATGAGGTCCCAGGTAGACAGAGGACGCTTAGGGAAGGCAGTACTGATACAAACGTGCCCAACAGCATGGATGGGTTTGTGGTTTAGGGAGCCTCAAGTCTTTATCTGATCAGAAGGCTGGGGTCGGGGTTCGCCTCAGAGACGGGTCGCACAGAGAGTGGTAGGAGTTTCGGAGGCCGAGAAGGGAGGCCGGCCAAGGGAAGGGGCGGGTCTGGCCTGTTTCCTGTCCTTTTCCCGTTGTGGAGAGATGCCAGCCTCTGTGAGGGGTTGTCATGTCCTTGCCAGCTGGGTCTGCCTTCTTCCAGGGCATTTTGTGGGAATAAGGGATGGCTGCAGAGGTCCAGGTACTTTTTTGAGAAGTCAAGGAGATTTCAACCGCCCCCCCCCCCCAATCTGGGGCGATCCAACCCAGGAGGAATCTCCAAGATTGTATCTCTGTCTCCTGAACGTAAGGTGATATAGGGGGCCCTGGGAGTGATGAACAGTTCGTGGGACCCAAGAAAGGGTTAGGAGACCAGCAGGAGTTTCTCTAGGCACCAGAAGGGCTCAGATCCAACCAAGCGTATCTCCGGGATTTTCAGAAGCCCACACTTGACTCACTTTTTGTTTAAATGTATTTTTGTAGTTCCTCATTTTGGAGTCTGGGAATCCCCCAAGTACCTGGCACTCTCATCCCAGCCCCTCAGGCCTCCCCCTACTTTCAGGGGCTGTAGATTCTGGCGTGAGGACTGGGCAGGAATTACCAATGGTTTGGGGGGTTGGCAGCAGGGGAAGAAAGTGAGGGGAGAGGCTGTTTTAGTTCCAGAGCTTTCATTTTCACTCTAAGCAATGGCTCTTAGGGAGAAAGGAGGCAGGAGGAGGGTGGGGCTGGAGAGAGGCGGAACAGAGCTCTGTGGGAGGAGTGGGGGAAGAGCCAGAGGAGGTGGAGTGAAGGGTTGTCTGGGCTTCTCAAAAGCAGAATATGCCTTTATACTCTCCAATTTTGGCTCTAGGTAGAAGCTGGGCTGTGACAACAGCAGTAGCAGGGGCTACTTATTGAGGGCTTCCTGTGTGTCTGGCCCTGAGCACAATGCTGCATATATTCCTGGTCTGGTTTCTCCCAACATCCCCATTGTATAGATGAGCAGACTGAGGCTCAGAAAGGGGAATTGTCTTGCCAAAGGTCTCACAGTTAGGTAATGGCAGAACCTGGATATGAATCTACATCTTTATGATTCACAAGCCTACCTCTCAGCTGGTCTCAGATGCCTCCAAGCTCTGGTCCTGAGCTCTTTTGTGGCAGAAGGATTGGAGCTGTGGGGAGTGGGAACTGGGGACTGACAAACATTCAGAGGAGGAGCTATATTTCTCATGTGTTTGAAGATGGCATCAAAGACTTCCATTGCTCTGGGAGTGTTGTGGGAAAGGTCCACATTCATAGGATGCTATCTTGTGATGCCCCGGAGGGGGCAGAAACCTTTTCTACTTCCTTCCCCATTTGGGGTAAGATGCATATCTATAAGTACTTTGCTCAGATTCTCAGGTTGAATGAGAGTCATCAGTTAGGTAGGATCCAGTCAGCCAGCCAGTTAGTTAGCCAGGGTGCTGGGCTATGTATGATGATTAAAACTGCCATTTAATAAGCACCTACTATATTCTTGATATTGTGCCAGGCTATATACATATCTTTCTCATCTTCATAACCCAAACCTGCAGGGCAGGTATTGTTACTCCTATTTTAGAGATGAGGAAACTGAGGCTAAGAGAAGCGAAATAACTAGCAAATGTAACAAAGCCAAGACTGGAACCTAAAGCTGACTCTCAAATCTGTGCTCTTTTCCCTGGCTGTTCCCAAAGTGTGGGATGATTTTAGGGAGCATGTGGATGTTGAACTAAACACAGGCTCACTTTACATTTCTTTTAAAAATTCTTCTCATTTTTTCAAGAAGGAAGTCTCTGGAGCAAGAATATAGTTAATGCCTCTCAAAGGCTTGCTAATCCCCCTTTTTAAAGAAAAATCAAAAGCCGGTCTGAGAAGGAGGGCCTCTGGCAAAGGAACCAGCTGGGGTTTAATAACATTGTTTTGTTTTTTTTAAATTCATGTTTAGGGTTACCTTTTATTTATGAGAAGTGATACTGGTTTTTCTCTCATGACTATGATATCAGGTTTACATTGAAAATAAATGTATTTAAATTAACAAGAAGTAATTAAAAGCGTGGGTGTTACCTGGATGTAGTACAAATGGTGCGGGTGAAACACAAGTTGATGGAGAGGAGGAGCATTGAGACCTGAGTTCTCATTTGGAATCTGTCACTGTGGGACCCTGGGCAAGTGACCCAGACTCTCTGGAGCTCGGTCTCACCATCTGTGAAATGAAAGAGTTGGAGTTTATCCTTCCAGCTTCACAATCCTAGCATTTTATGAGGCAGAGGCTGGATGAGCAGATGATGAGGTGTCAGTGAGAGAAAACATGATGGGGCTTGGCCAGGGGAAGGGAAATGAGCAGAAGAATGGGAGGAAGAGGCCAAGTGCTAAATATAGCCCCACCAGGACCGGGACCAGCTGAAGCCAGCCAGCCTCAGGACCCCAGGAAGGTACTGGTTTTCTTAGGTCCTGTTGGGTCTTTGGTAAGACAAAAGGTTTAGGATTCTAGCCAAAAGGAAGATCTGTTCAGTTCAGAGAATATTGTGAGGTTCCAGGGCCATTGCCTTGTAAAACACCACAATGATTCTCTGGGTGCTTTTATAATCAGATCAGTTGGCAGCTTAATTAAAAACAAGCGCACCGAGTAGTATGCGGGCTCCACTTTCTGCTTTGGCCTTGCACTTTAGTTGCAGCTCCGTCCTGGCCGACTTTCACCTTCCTGCCAAGAAGGCTACAGCAGAGATTTCAAGATCCCTTCAAACTTCACAATTCTGTTTTTAGGTCTATCCAGAGCCACCCACTGCATGCAAAGAAAAACAGTACCTAATAAATGGCCAGTGCTGTAGTTTGTGCCAGCCAGGTGAGATGCCAACCCTCTAGCCCCATAGTAGGACCCCTATTGGCTTGCTGGTAGATGTAGACCCCTTGTGTTAACCGTAAACTTGAGCCTGAAATGACCCATTTCCCATCCCTACCCTGCTGTCAGAATGTTCAGGACTCCCTCTCTACCTAGTAAACCTCTGCCTGCGCGTTACTAGGATTCCTATGTCTTCCATCTTCCCCACCAGACTATGAAGAGTCTGAGACTTTCACCTTTGAATCCTCCACCTTAAGGCCTGGCTTGATCATTTTGTGATAAGTGTCTGACTTACTGAGTTGGCCAGAGCTGCCTCATTTCCTGATGTTTTACAGGACAGAAACTGGTGAGTGACTGCACAGAGCTCACTGACACAGAATGCCTTCGCTGCAGTAAAGGCGAATTCCTCGACACCTGGAACACAGAGAGACACTGTCACCAGCACAAGTACTGCGACCCCAGTGCGTGGACTGCTGGGGCAGGGAAACTTGGGAGTGGGTTGATAGTCCAGATAATGCAGCCATTCTGATTTTACATTGCCAGGATCTGTTCTGATTGGTTGGAGGCAGGGTTGTGTCGGTTGTTAAATAATTTGATTGCCATCTCTTTTTGGAAAAGGGTCTAAGAAAAAGAGAGGAGGCAGGGTCCACAGCAGGGCTTTGAGCATGGCCCAGCATGGGTTCCATCCCTGCCCTTGTCTGCTCAGACCTAGGGCTCCGGGTCCAGAGGGAGGGCACCTCAGAAACAGACACCACGTGCACCTGTGAAGAAGGCCGACACTGTACCAGTGATGCCTGCGAGAGCTGTGCCCTGCACAGCCTGTGCTCTCCCGGCTTTGGGGCCAAGCAAATCGGTAAGTGGCCTGTCTGGAGTCAGTTCTGGAGGCAGGAAAGAGTTGCTGAGGGCCGAATAGGAGGGGCTGGGCAGTGGGCACTAGCCCCAGAAGCGGAGGGAATGGAGACTCCAACCCATATTGCTATCCCTGCTAAAGTGAGCAGGAAATGGGACCTTTCTCATTCTGCCTCCTGCCACGGGTATCTGCCATGGGGGAGTGGGGCAGTTCTACACTGGGGCAGAAATGCTCAAGGCAGAAGCTCTTTCTGCCCTGGCTGTCCACTGGCTACCTTGAGAGCTGGACAGGTGGTCCACTGTGATGATTAATGTCCCCCTCTCCACCTGCTCCCAGCTACAGGGGTTTCTGATACCATCTGCGAACCCTGCCCGGTTGGCTTCTTCTCCAATGTGTCATCTGCTTTCGAAAAGTGCCGCCCTTGGACAAGGTATAAGAACTCATCCCTGTGTTTCCTGCCCCATGAGTGGCATGGGACCTGCCTCCATTCTCTCCTGGGACCTGTCCTTCAGTCCCTCCTCCCCCGTGTGCACACACTTGTAAAACATTTACATGGTGACCTCGTGGACTGCCAAATGGAAACTTTTCAGCATTTTTCTTGCCTGCTCTCTCTTGGTGGTAATAGACAATGTGGATCTCTCCATCTTCTTGAGGCTTCCCCTTCTTTGGGGTATTGGGACACCTCTCTTAGTTTTCCTTCTTCCCCTCCTGCTGCTCCTTCTCCTTCTTGCTCCTCAACTGGTTTCCAGGGCTTTGTTCTGGGCTCTCCCGTCTAGTCACTTTGCTTATCTTTTTGGGGCCATCTCATGCATCCCATGGCTTCAAGTCCCATCTGCCTCCATGGCTCCCAATCAGCGTCTCCTGTCTGCATCTGTCTCCTGGGCCACAGACGGCCATATCCAACTGCTAAGTATACATCTCCACCCATTGACTCACAGGCACCTCAAGCTCTGTGTGTCCAGCATGAGCTCACCTTGTGTGAAAGGCACCACTGTGGCCCATGGACCTCCCTCTCTTACCTCTAGCTCCAAATCAGTCGCCAGGTCCTGTCCACCTGGCCTTTTAAGTGTTTTGGGAGTCTGTCTCCACTCTGTCTCCACTGTCATCACCTTAGTTGGGGCCTCATCACCGTGCTTTGGGTGATGCCTTTGCCCCTCACCAGGCTCCCTGCCTCTAGTCTCTCTGCTTTGGCTGATTCTCCATCCTCTTGCCGAAGTGAGCTTTCCACACTTCTTTTTGGATCATGACATTCCCCTGCTGAAAATGCTTCATAGCTGTCCATTGTCTTCAGTACAAAACCCAGCTGCATGGCATTCGACCTTCCAGCTGCGTTTCCTGAGCTCTTCCCCTGCAATGTACCACATCATGCTGCCTGTAATCCACTGAACATGCTGTTTCTTTTCGTGCATCAGCCTCTTCTGCCTGGATACCCCTCAACACATGCCTCATTAACTTTTTACGTTTAATTTTTACTCCCTGCCTCTAGTCTCTCTGCTTTGGCTGATTCTCCATCCTCTTGCCGAAGTGAGCTTTCAACACTTCTTTTTGGATCATGACATTCCCCTGCTGAAAATGCTTCATAGCTGTCCATTGTCTTCAGTACAAAACCCAGCTGCGTGGCATTCGACCTTCCAGCTGCGTTTCCTGAGCTCTTCCCCTGCAACGTACCACATCACGCTGCCTGTAATCCACTGAACATGCTGTTTCTTCTCGTGCATCAGCCTCTTCTGCCTGGATACCCCTCAACACATGCCTCATTAACTTTTTACGTTTAATTTTTTAAAAATGGGTAAAACAGGGCACATGGGACAGAAAGCACAAAAGAGCCCACAGTGCTGTCTC